GTCGGGGTGTTGATCAATGTTCGTGGGAGAGTTGAATTCCGGTGGTTGGACGGAGGTGAATGATTGACACTGTTTGCAGAAGAAGAGGATCGTCGTTTCTTCGTTCTTCTGACCTTTGTCATATAGCGGGATCAGTCGTCCTCGTGTTTGACACTCCGCCTTTGCGCAGGTTCCATTCGTCGTGCAGCCGTTGACTGCGAAGAAGGTTGCCGTGTGGGTTTCATCTTCGAGTTCGCTAGCCAATCTCATAGGGAGAAATTGCTCGATGTTCTTGTATCCTTCTAGGCGCCACCCTCCTGGTTGTGGGAGCAGTTTCCGAATGATTTGTACAATCAAATGTGCTGGCGCCACGGTGAGGGAGAGCTTCTTTGATGTTTGATTTCCCGCCCCGAGGACCTCAACGTGCAGTAAGGTTTGATGTTTTGCATTCCAAAAAGTTTTGCTTGATTCTTTGGAGCTGTTTTGCAGGAATGCTTCCATCAGCGGATCCAGGTCCTGTAAATACTCTAGCTCTGACCGCTGCAGCGCTGGTTGGAGATCGCTCCATGAGGTGAGTTCAATTGTATTTGGGTGGCATTTCTCTGGCAGTTGGCTACTCATTGGGGCTTTGGGCTTATAGTCTGATTTCTTCCCCATTGCATTCTGGGACTCTTTACTCCCTATCGTGCCCAGTCGTCGTCGGCGTTCCTCGCAAGCTTTCAGGAAGGTTTGTTGGTCCTGTTCGGTGCAGATCTCCTTGAATTTGATCATAGTCTCTCTTAGTTCGGCGTTGATACTCGACTCCCTGTGTGCACGATCAATATAGTCTGTGATTTCTGATGCGCTTCTCAGATCCTTGCGAAGTTGCTTAATCTTCCTTTTCAGGTCCATTTGAATCTTCGATGAGTATCGCTTCCCACCTGAGGTTCGTAGGGGGATTTCCTTAATGGGAAGGGCAGTTGTTATCAAATTGATAATGTCGCAATCTTGCTGTAGAGCTTGTGCCGCTTGTATCTTCTCGTCGAGAGCCATTGCCCATTCCACGCCTAGTCGTCCCGATATCTTTTCTATCTCTACCACCCGCTTCTTTCGTCGAAGAATGGCATCTCGGTCCTTCCTTTGTGTGAGCATTTCAACCGTTGGAATAAATTGTTCGCCCTTATCATCTAGCGCAGTCACATTCACCACCAGTGCCCTGTGATCGACTGCGGCTCCTATGATGCAGTCTTCTGCGGTCTCTGATATCAGGCTTACTGTGCGAGATGAATGATGCAGAGCGAAGACATGGTCTAATTTGGCTTGGTGGTGGCCCTGTTTGTACCATGTGGAGAAGGTGAAATGCGAACTGCTTCTGCTCATCTTTTCGCAGGTGACCATCTGATATCGCCCCAGCTCATTTAAGTTTCGTTCCATTTCCTCATCTGCGCGGTGCACGTTCGAGTTGATCCCGTACCCTACTCTCGTGCAGATCTCTGCAAGCTTTCGAGATGCGTTGAAGTCGCCTCCGACGATGCTGAGCTTAATGTTTGGGTCCATCTTGAGCATCTGGCTCAGTGCCTTCCACATGTTGTCTCGGTCTCTCCCCTCCGATGCGATAGGGAAATGTACGTTCGCCAACACTATTGTTTCTTTTTTGCGGCCAACGTGTAAAACCTGTATTCTTTTTTGGGAGACCTCGCGCTCCTCTTCCATGGCGAAGTGCCATGGCAGGGGGGGGCGAGGTGCAAGGTCAGCATGCGCTAATGTCATGAGGCGTAGGTCACTCTTACCCTTTCTCCCGCCCCCCGTGCCTTTCGTGATAAATACTCGATAGCATCCCCATTCCTTCTTGATCATCGTTCGGAGAGCTATCTCTTTCCTCCTCCCCCCTACCAAGACCTCCTGCAGCATTACCACGCTCGGCTGGTATGTCTCAATCAGGTATCCCAAGATGTGTTTCAGCACAAACTGGCTGCACCCATTAACATTTTGAGAGATGATGTTGCCTGGGGTGTTATCCTTTCTGTGCATCTCCACCCATGATGGTTGCTCTGATCTTTCTGTTCGCATTGCATTGTGAGGTTTTCTACCTGTTGTTAGTATTTGTTCCTCTTCCCTATTGGCCCATTGAAGTTGATGTGGTACTCCCCTTCGATCTCTTGCCGGGGAGTGCGTCTCCTCCTCCTCCCTAGTTCCCCTTACATCGTTCGAAGCTTGTTCTTTGTGCTTGCCCGCTGGGGGGAGCGATGTGGCCTGCGGCGGTAGTGAGTCCATCTGTTCTGACCTTTCATATGTCCGCAGGTCCGCCATGTTTCTCGCTTGCCACGGTTCTTGCTCTCCCTGCTCCATCTCTTGTGCCTGGGTCACCTCTGCTGCTTGCCATTCCTTGTACCCTTTATCTTGCGCGTGTTGTAAAGCTCTGCAGATGCCTTTGATCGTTTCTCGCATGCGCACTTTTCCTGGATCCTCCACCCAAAGCGCATCCAGCAGCAGGTGCCTCATCCTCTCGAGCCATTGCTGGGGCGGGGGGACGCCTTGCTGCCTACCTGTTTTTGAGATGTCTCGTTGTGTCGGTCTGTTTGTCTTTGCGATCAACAGCAAATGCAACAGTATGAAGATCCCACAGTTGTGATTGTCTGTTTGTTGTAGCTCAGTTGACAGGTAAACCCGCCATGTCGTTGCATGTTCCTGCTGGTCGCTGAACGCCTCCGTGACAATCGTCGCCGCGAGTGTGGCTAAGTCCATTCGTTGTGCGCCCTCCAGCTGAAACTGTGCCTCCCTTTGACTTCTGACAATCCCCAAGTCTCTCTCAGCCGTGCTGAGTGAATCAACAATGCGTATTCTTTTTGTGTCAAAATCTGCCATTAGTAGAATCCAATGATTGCCATTCTCTACGCACGGGAATAAGAATGGCTGGGCTGCCCCGGCTAGTAGTCGCTTTGCTCTCTTTGTCCTCCCCTCTTGATCTCTCAAACAAGCTACTATTCTCGGGAGGACAATAGTCCCTCTCGGCGACTCGACCTGGTTTCTAGTTTGCGCGCTCGCGTACCTCTTGTCTCGTAGCCATGCTACTTGAAATCTGTCTTCCAATGGTTCGATACCTTCGCTTGCCTCGAGGATTATCGCCTCCACAACATCTTCGGAGAGAAAGCCAGCTTCTCCCGAGTTGAGTAGCGCCGCTAATCCATATTCTCTGTTTTGTTCCCTTCGACTCCAGGGGATCTCCCCTACTAGGTCGAATGTTTGTGCCGTTTTTTGATTTTCTTTGTCTTTGTTTTTCTCACCTTCTTGTCCTTCCACCTCACCCTTGTGCCAATTGTCCCACCTGCCCTCGTCTCCTCCTGTTCCTGCGTCCATTAAGCTTGTGCCGCAGGGGGGGAGTCTAGTGACATCCCCTCTGCGTCGTCCGCCTTGCTCCCTTCCTCCTGTTCCTCTTCCATTCCGGCCTCTTTCATCTGTAGTTCAGTGCTCAACATGAACTTTAGTTCGTCGTTATCTCCCAGCATTCCTACCGAAGAGATTACTGTCTCCTCTAGGAATTTATTCAGTGCAATGAAGAGCAGGTCAGTCTTAAACTGCTTCTCTTCTTTGGGGGCAAAAGCGCTTTGCTTGCGCTTCGCGACCTTCCATGTATGCTTCTCAACGATTCGTTGGACTCGCTCTTTGAAGCCCTTACTCTGGGTATCCCATGTCGCTCCGGTGCCTTTATCAGCCCATTCTTGCAGCGTGGAGAAGGACGCGTTGCCTGGACTGTCTAAGGCGACCTGCATGTCATGCACAGCATCGTCAAGACGAAGTAAGGTCTTTCCTTGCTGTTGTAGGTCATTGTTAACTACTTCCGCGATAGCTGTCTTGATCTCAGCAATTACTACCTCTGCTTCCGCGTCGGGCAGGTTTGTTTCGTTGATGATTGAGTTCAGTTCAATCTCTTTCCACACGGTTCCGCCTGCTCTGGTTCCCGGCGTTTGTGATCTGGCTTGGTCAGATTGATCCTGTGTTGCCTGAGGCGACACTTTGAGGTTCAGACTACTTGCTGTCGTCTGGATCTCAACTGTGCCTTGCCAGCAGAGAAGGTGTGTGGGGAATTCAGCCATCATCTTTCTTGCACTCCTTTCACTTCGTAGCCTGAGAATAATTCCAGACCCATCCCACATCCCCGTCTCTGCGTCACATTGGATGTGTACCCGCTGCAGCTCTTTTTCAACCTGTGGGTCCCAGCATGCGACAGACCTCCGGATGTTTCGGATGACTTTGGCTCTGCCCGTTTCGTCACTGGCGCAGATTTTTTCAATCTCACTTCGAGAGAACTTCCCTGATGGCACTGGGGAGGAGATTTGCACTGAGTACAGCATCTCTGCCCCCGTTGCCGTTGCCGCCTCCTGTCGCACAGCATTCTTCGTATGCTTGAGCATAGTCGTTGCTTCCATTTGAACTGAAAACCATTTCAGTATTTTGTCATTCTCTGAGACCAATCCCAAAGTGACTCCTGCTCGATCTTTTCCATGTCGATCGAATGCCTGGAGGACGATGTCCGCTACTTCCAGGCTCGAACAAGTCGCGATCCAGTCTACCTCTCTGTTCTGGTTGACTGTGTCTATTCCTACCGCTGCAAACACCTTCTTTGGCGGCATGTTCCTCTTGGGGGGGAGGTTCACTGTCATTCCCGCGTTTGGGATCAGGTCGATAATTGCTAGGCCCTGTTTCAAGCACAACTGCCTGTAGATCTCACATATATCACCTGTACTCGAATCATTGAGCTTAAGGAGTTGGGCCACCTCCGCTAGGATTCCGACTCTGCCCATGTTCTCCTTCTTTGGTCGCATCTTGAACGAGATCGGTGGGTTGGCTGCTGGGTTCACTGCTAGGATCCTCCTTCCAGCCACCTTAAAGGTACCTTCTCCTTTCCAGAATTTCTCTGCCGCCTCGTTGCGGACAAAGGTGATCACTGCTGGGATCTCTTCTGCCTTCGCCAGGTCAGGCTTGAGGGGAGCCTTGAAGATCAAACTCCTGCTGTCTTGCGTCTGATCTACGATCAGGCCTTGCTCTTCCAGCTTGACGCATAAGTTTTCAACCTGTCTGGAGAAGTATGCAGGTATCCCTAGTACCTTCATGGTAATCGTCTGCACACTCGTGCCCTGGTCATCATAAGACCTGGCCTCCATCTGCCGTTGCCTGTCTGCTAGAAATTCGGACAGGTACCACTGCCTGGCATCATCACCCCACTGCCCGAGACCTTTCAGACTCTCCAGTGGTGAAGGTTCAGCAAAGCTGCATGTGTGACTGATGGCTTCGGCTAAGGCTTCCAAGGATATCTCTTTGGCTTTCAGAGCTTTGCTCGTCCTGCTTTTGGGATTCTGCCTTGCGAAGTCATCCAGTCGTCGCACAAGCTCAGCTGGTGACGGCATCGTTCCAGTTTCCGTCTGCCTCTTGAGGTAGCTGGAGGTACGGTACTGCACGATCTCGTCAGGGTTCACAATAGATATTGGCCACATGCTTCGGAGCATTCTCAATGGTTTCCCAAGCTTCCGTCGTTCCTGGCGGCTCTTACTCCACCAGCGCAGGGGTACCGCAAATCTGCATGCCAGGAAATAAGGAAACTGCATGCCAGGAAATAAGGAACCTGCATGCCAGGAAATAAGGAACCTGCATGCCAGGAAATAAGGAACCTGCATGCCAGGAAATAAGGAACCTGCATGCCAGGAAATAAGGAACCTGCATGCCAGGAAATAAGGAACCTCCTAGGAAATAAGGAACCTGCCAGGAAATAAGGAACCTGGCAGTTCGGCCCGACTTGGCTGGCCCTTATGGCAGCCGTGCTTCTGCTCTGCTCCCTCCTCTGATATACTTCAGTGCCTAAACCCTAAACCCTAAACCCTAAACCCTAAACCCTAAACCCTAAACCCTAAACCCTAAACCCTAAACCCTAAACCCTAAACCCTAAACCCGTCAAACCCTAAACCCGACAAACCCTAAACCCGACAAACCCTAAACCCGTCAAACCCTAAACCCGACAAACCCTAAACCCGACAAACCCTAAACCCGACAAACCCTAAACCCGACTCAGAAAATGTTGGGGATGGAATGGATTCTACAAGCCGCAACGGGGCATGTAGCCTCAACATGTTGTACATGATGATAATTCAGATAACGTTGAGCTCGACCTGCGACAGGCAAAGGGGCAGAAAAGAAGATAGGTTAAGAAGCATGAGAAAAATCTCTTATGAAAAGCTGGAAGAAGGTGAAAGGTGTTGATGGATATGGAAATACTGGTATGGAGCAATGGCTGGTTAGGAAAACATGAAGTTCTCGAGATCTCTGAAAGGCAACCGAGAACCCTTATATCATGTGGCTGGCGGTAAGATGTTGGTTTGCTGTATATCTCAGACCTGATGTCATACAAAGTCATGTTGTATGCACATTGCTCGATAAAGATTCCCGACCTGCCCTTTATGCATGGGGCGAAAATGTTCATGGACAGGTAAACATGAGCTTTGAAAAAAAGCGAATTTGATACTGACGCCTTGTAGCTTGGAACAGGAGACACAAGGTCAAGTCGTCAACCCCGCAAGGTCTCGACGACTTGTGAGGGTAACGCATCTCCGTGCTTGTTTCCCCACCTTGAAAATGATGTTGTAGACGACACATTCATCTCGCTTGCATCAGGGCGCAGTCACACGCTTGCGGTTACTTCCAAGGTCTAGCTCCTCTGACTTCTCCTCCAACTGCTTCAGTAACTCTAGATTGCAGGGAGTGACGTTCGCTTGGGGCCTTGGCAAGAGCGGAAGGCTTGGGCTGGGAGTGCCAATCTCCCATCATCAACCTTGCTTGCTCGGTTCTTGTGACCTGGTCGGGTAGCTGATCACTGAAAGTTGTTGAAGGACATTTAAGAGGAGTGAGAATCGTTGAAGTCGCTTGCGGCTCATCGCATAGTCTAGCTGTGGACGAGAATGGAGGCCTATGGGGATGGTAAAGTTGAAGTGATGCTTGTCAAGCCGACAGCGCTTGTCTCAGGGGTTGTCATAAATTCGGCCAGCTAGGACTTGGTGACGTCGGACAAGAATCATTAAAGCTTCCTCATCAGGTGAGACTTCACAGAGGCACAAGAGCTGAAGGTTCGTCAAGGTTGACCTGCTGAGGTCTACCCTCATCGCGTCTGTGGCTGCGGGTGACAAGCACTCGATAGCTCTCAGCTCGCAAGGGATCGTGTTCTCATGGTGCAACGCATGCGTTCTTCCTGCTTGCGTGACGAATCATGGCAGGGGACTGAATGGATATGGCTGTCTGGGGGCAGGAAATGCAAGAAAGAACTACCCAGACTTCGTAGAAGATGATTCTCTTCTCTTCCCTGAGCCTTTTCGAGTCTGTAATCAGCCAACAAGAGTCAATATTGGTAGGAGGTGTAGATGACTCCTTCAGTCCTCTGATCTGCTTCCTGTAGAGGACTCGATCGCAGCGATCTCTGCTGGTCTTTTCCACTCAGCTGCCGTTGGAGAGAAGGGGAAGTTGTACACGTGGGGGAAGGTGAAGATAGGGAGGGGATGAAAGAATAAGGAGGTTGAAAGCAGGAAGGGGGTTGGGGTTGAAAACCTACTGTGAGGAAAAGAGCACACAAATGACGCAGAGGTCAGGGAGGTGAAGGCCAACTGGGTAGCGGGATGATGGCAGACCTGTATGTTCCTGCTGCTGTTAAGGTATGGAGGCTCATTGGTGCCTTTCTCACTTCATGCAAGGATCTCAAGCATAAGAACATCACCAAGGCAGCATGCGGCTCTTTCCATACAGCAGCTTTGACAAACGAAGGAGAGCTCTATGTGTGGGGATGGGTAATGAGGCGATGATTGGCTCATAGCCTTGAGAATGTTTGTAAGGCGGGAGACTGCAATCTGTTGACGAGAGAGAGGAGCGACGAACCTCTGGGCCCTGTGCTTAGGCCGAGGAGATTGCAGCTCAAAGACAAGGTGAGAGGAAATCTTGCAATCATTTCTGAGCCAGCGATGCAGGAAGAACAGAGCTTATTCGCAATAAACGTTTGCTGCGGAGGATCAACCCTCGCTGTTTTGGTGTGCTCAGACCGGGAGAGCAAAGTGCAGAAATCATCTGAAGCAAGATCGGAAGCTAGCGAGTGAGTAGTTTGCTACATGTAGTATGCTACATGTAATCTCACAAGATCACAGAAGGTATTTGCAAGAAAGAGCAAGCTATCTTATGATTCGCGAGGTCCGGTCCGTTTGGAAACGAGGTGGATATGACACGAAAACAGGTACAAGAAATGGAGGCGCATCAGGACAAAGGAAATCGACTCCGAGCATCCAAGGTCCGGCTCTTCTCATACATATTCGCATTTGACAGTCCCCGCGAAGAAATCCATGTTGGCAGCGAAAGAATACGAGATTGTTGTTTCGATAGGGTCAGGAAACAATCCGCTTCTAGTCGTGTCTCGCTGACATCAAACAGCATGCGTGTCGACAAGCTGCTGGCTTGCTCGCCCTTTGCCCCCGATGGCATCCGAGATCGGTAAGGGTGAAGGAGAGCAGAAGAGTAAACGCACTGAAAGAATGCCTCGCAAGAATCTCAGCTATCCTTCAAGAAACTCTTTCAGGCCTCTTCCTCTGTCTGTTTCACATTCACGACTATCAGGTATATACCTTGCTGCTGAACCTTCTCGCAGAATAACTTGCAGTAGGGTGCGATAGAAGCTGCCAACCTCTTTCTTCAGCTTTCAGGACCTGGACTGTTGAGAGTCGAGGTGTCAACACAAGCACTCCTACATACGCTTCTCAACCACATCCAGATGCTGATCAGCAAGCTGGAAGCCATGGACCTCCTGGGCATTGAAATTCGCGATCCCCACAGCATTCTACATCAGCTACTAATGGTAAGATGCCTTACAGTCAGAGCTCCCTGACAGGAAGGCAGGATGTCGAAACAGAGAGAGACAGGAGGATGATAGCGAATCTGATCATGAAGGTGCCTGACTTTTGCGTCCCCAGTCTTTGATACCCTGGTCATAGATCACACCATTGGACAAGCCTGCACCCAACATGTTCGATCCAGGATCGTTGATGAGCAATAAGAGCCCCAAGCTATTGAAGAGCACTTCGTCCTCAAGTAGGCGGAGTGAATCCTTTTCTCTGCTGACTTGGAAAAAGGAAGTTCAGGTCCCTGCAGATCTTACTGTATACTTCGGGCGGAGGACGCGCTCTGTACGGTGAGGACGTTTAGACGTGTCATCATCTGTTCACCTGCTATCTTTCTGTTGGTTTGAAACGATTTCAGGTCGACGACTTTTGTCCGAGAGTGATCTGATGTCGACCTACGCTTTCTCTTGTAAATTCTTGCTTTCATTGTCCATTTCGAGCCCAAAGGAGGCCAGCCTGATGTTGTGCATCCAAACGCATCAACTCAATGCTTCTACTTCTTCCTCTTCTGCGAAAATTTCCATTCCCTGAGAGAGCTCCATAAGCCTTTTACGATGAAGATTCTGAGCGCTTTGAATGATCTAAAAACAGGTCAGGATGCAACTGCATTGGCTACCGTCAACCTTCTTTGCCATCGCCAGTCCCGTGGGTCCCAGCAAATTGCCTATCAAATATCATCCGAGAGAAATAGGAAAACGAGCCCTCCCAACGTCCTCACCCAGCATCCGTACCAACTCTTGTGGCTTGGCTGAAGCAACATCTTCTACTGTGCGCAAGCCGTTGCGGAACATTTCCCTTGCTCGCTTAGCCTGAGTTAACGGTCATACACCCGTTCAACTCCTCTTCGCATCGTGTCACCTGCACAAAAGGAATGTCGCAGAGAGGTAAGACATCTGAACGTGCCCCGTTGGCTATCCTCCCAGTGAGGCTCTGCTGGCCTGTGAGCAAGACACTCGCATCTCCCTCCTCCCTCACCTGGATGAGAGAAGCAAGATCTTCAAAGCCCACGTTGCGCGAGAACTGTGCTACCATGGAAGCGAAGGAAGCAGTGACAGTCTGCAGCTCCTCAATGTATCCCTTGTCGATGGCGACCGATCCTGGAGCGCTTCCAACTCCGTCCCTGTCCTTGCCAGCTCCATACACCCGCAGAATGGCAGCGACAGGCTTTTCCTCCACCAGCTCTTGAAGTAGCAGCGCAACCCATAACCTGCGCGACTTGAAATCTTGCTCCTCCAACCTCGGCGTCCTTTTCAGCAGCCTTCCTTGTGCACTCAAGCAGACAAACGACTGTCGAGCAAAATTAGCTTGTTACACTGAAAACTTCCTTCTAGCAAACCACTAACAGAACATGAAAAAAATTCGAAATTTCGATTGGACATGAATACTAATTCATGTAATCTGAAGAACAAAAATGTGTACCTCTTCTATGCCGATCCTCTGCAGAACTTTTTTGCGGTTGTCATCAAATTGGCTGATCTTGTCAGCAAGAAGGCTCCAATTTGGCTCTCGAAGACCCGATACTGGTGCTGTCAGGTACAGAAGGTGTAACTGGTCGACCAAGATAATGCCCTCGCTCCTCGCCAACTGCCATGAAGTTCATCATAATCAAATCATAGAGACAAGTGATGTAAACCACGAACCTCAAGATCGTGGTGGAGTGCAAGAGCATCCTCCACTGCAATTGATGCGAGGTATGTCGCTTTTCCGAGAGAGGTGGCGTAAAAACTTGAAACATATTCAATTCCTGCATCGGAAGGAAGATCTTCGTACTGAAACATCTCTCGACTGACAGAAACAAATTTGTGTCTAAGTAGCCACTGTAGGCAGTCTAGAATGATTCGAAAAAGTGCAGAATTGCAAGAACCAGCAGTGTTGTCAAGCAAAGAACTCCCACTTTCATGTATATTTGGAGACAATTGTCGAGACATCAGAGTTTGATTGAAATAGTTGCATATCATTCTCAGGTCCACTCCGTCTTCTCTCAGGCTTCGGCTGCTTCCTTGCAGCAGCGAAATTGCTGCACCATCTCTCGTAGGCAATCGACCGGCCGATATGAAACCGAGGATAGATCGGAGAAATAAGTCGCCCGCTGGAAGATCAGATCCACCCCTATATCTCTCCCTTTGCTCCGAAGGCTGAATGTTACTTGATGTCTGCGCACGAGTTCTGCTATATTGAAAGGCTTCATGCAGAAGCTGAGATTCCACGGCCTGATCTGCCTCTCAGCAAGCAGCAACACCATCATAACTCACCTTGGGCCCCTGCGTCACAAGAGCGAAGCAACGATCCCTCTCTCCGGGCTGTACGAAGAGAAATGCTTCTCCCTGCCCACGAATAAGAATCTTTAAGATTCTAGCTGGTATGCAGACCTGCTTTTGTCCTAAGCCTGCTCGGCCTGCTCGGCCTGCCATCTGCTTGAAACGACTCGCAGTAAGAAACTCTCTCCCTGTGTAAGGAGTCCTGACGATAACCCTCCCGGCAGGGAGATTGACTCCAGCAGCCTGCAATGCTTGACATCACATGAAGCACGGCCTCTGGGATGCCTACCAAGGTCGTCGTGGCAACTAGAACTGAGATTGTACCGGATTTGTATGCGTCCTCTATGATTTGCCTCTCTTCCGATGAAAGCCCACTATGATGAAAGGACACTCCAACGGAAATTGCGGCAAACAGGGAGATGTCAGAATTTGCATCTTCATTGGCCGAGCGGAGAGCCGAAATGACATCGTTCCTGGCTTGCTGTAGGCCTGTGTCTTCTGCTCCTATAGCAATCATCAGCGCGTCAATCTTATTAGAAGCCATCACCAACCTGTGATCGCAGCAAGAGTCAACTGCTTAGCCACGATTTCTGTACTAGCTTTGGTTGCACAGAAAATAATCACAGGCGCCTTATCTTGGATAGCTTCTTTCACCAAAAAGGCAAGGTGGTCTGGGTCATTTGTAGCAGGAGGAGGTAGAGAACGAAACAAAGATCCATTTTCCAAAATTTGACAACCACATTTCACATATTCCTTTAGATCAACTGGTCTTGTTTCTGATTGGAAGCTCTTCGCTTGCATCCAATTACAAAACTGAGAAAAAAACTCAAATCAGGATAAGGGATAATTAGATCAGAGAACCTCATTCAAGTTTGGCATCGTTGCGCTCATTGCCACAATTTGAGTTTCAGGAAAGAATGTCAGAATTCTTGACAGCAAGATTTCAAGCAAAGGTCCGCGGCCTACGAAATGTGATCGTTGAAGGCATACATTGGACTTTGACCTTTTTCAGCGACAAAGTGTGCCTCGTCCACCACCACTAGGGATAATTCTGACATCCTTTTGAAACATAACTTCGAACCAAAAACATTGACAAACGCAACAAACCTGCTCTCTTCGATGAGCTCCTTGATAATTCTATCAGCTTTTTCAATCGTGGCGATACAAATCTAAGTATTTGTAAGCAATCAGCACAAGTGCGTCTTTTTCTGTTTCACTTGTTTAGTTCTTTGCGGGATTGGAAACTTTCCTTGGTAACCATGAAAACTTTCAACGCTATCGACAAGTGGCATGGTCAGATGAGGATACCGGAGAGAAATATGCACACCAAATACTAAGAGCATCTCCAAAGGGCTCAAGGTCCTGGCAAGAATACTGTCAACCCAACCACACAAACAATCTCGTCAGCAGACCTTGGCCTTTTCCTTTACCAAGCTGACAAAGGGAAGCACCATCAGACATTTTACCCCTGTCTTGCTTCGCATTCTCCCCAAGATGGTTCGCAGCAGCAGGACCTCAGCTACAAATGTTTTTCCTGCTGACGTGGGAAGCGTGTACACAAGATTCTTTCCTCGCCTTACGTCCTCGCTCTAGATACTGCTTAGCTCTTGCTGCAAGAGAGCAGAATACCTTTAGACATTGCAATTGCCAAGTGTAGGGTCGCTGAATTCCTCTTCTCTTGAATAGCTGAACACATATTTCTTCGAAAAGTAAAAAAACGAATATCCAATAATTGCAACATCAAATACCTGGAAGGCGCAACTCATTCCAGGCTTCAGCATTTTGATCCACAAAAAGATGATCGCTTGCTCCAGTTGGAACTTGGGTTGTACATTTTTTATCATCCTAAAAGACAAGCAATCAACAAGGTAAAAAGTAGGAGGCATCATAACACATTTTGAAGAAGAAACGCCGAAGATAAACCTATGGGCTGCTTGACAGATTCGCCATTGCCGACCCTCTCAAATTGAGAGCCAAAGGTCATGGCTGGAAATGTTGATCCATCATTCAAAACTGTACTGCATCCTACATGAATCTGGGAGTTGTTTGCTGTCCGAAAGTCTGTGACAGGAAAGCTCCTGTGTTCTGTACAATTATCCAACGAGGGAAAGAAGTCCACATGTCTGTTTAGCTTTATTCGTTTGGCTGCCTCTCTGTTTTTGTGGATCCTTTCCAACTGAATGCTGGTGAGGCTCCAAGATTTTTCACCATTGTGCTCAGAATCCGCATCGTTCCCCATCACAGATTCACCAAACTCAAACTGGCAGCAAAAAAAGGCGGAGCACGAATTTTGGTAATCCATGGCAACTCATCTTGTCGAGATACGCCTCAAGTCCAGGGCCAAATGGCATCTACATGACTCTTACATGGCTCATTTACCACTCCTGCTCCTCCTGCTCCTCCTGCTCCTCCTGCTCCTCCTGCTCCTCCTCCTGTTCCTCCTGCTCTTGCTCCTTGTCCTCCCTTGCGTGTAAACACGCCTTCAATCAAAACTACCGACGGCCCGCCCGGATCGAGTCGCGCACTGCCGTGTTATCTTTACTACTCGAAATTGGTATTTTTTAACTTAACTTTGAGTAAAGTTTTAATTGGTCTTCTACGAGGAAAGTATCCTCAGGGATACACATGATTCCGTTTATCTATTAGTTGACAGGGGAGTATTTAAAATATCATTTTTAGAGGCATTACCCCACTTTTCTGACCCCCCACCCAAAGTTAAAATAGTGTACCCACCTAGGTATTGTTGTACTGAATTTGAGAGTCAAAAGGGGGTAGTGGGAGTACCATCACCCCCTGGAATAGAGAGCAGTGGAGGAGCAGAGGGCTCTATGGCTGGCTCCTGAATTCCCCTTGACTCCAGTCGTTGCTTCCCCCATATCCCTGCATCCTACCTCTCGCTCCTCCGCTCTCTCCCCCATCCGCTCCCTCCTACCTTCTGCCCCAACCTCCCTCTTCCCCCATCCACAGATTCTAATTCTACGTAGCTTGAATATCCGCGACAAACTTCCTGTGACATGGTTAAATCCCTTTTCTCCAAACGGAGAAGAGAGCGGGATCCCAAGATTTTCTTTTACTCTGTAGTGTTTGTTGTTTTGACTCTATGCCTTCCTGGGGTGAATGGTTGCGATTGGCCTCTAGTTCAAATTGCAGATGCAGCAACACCTGATACCATAGTGGAGGTAGTCGACAAGCTGCCCAACGAAACTCAAGAGAACAATGCAAGCATTTTGATACAAGGGAAGATTGCTTTATTCGGAGCTTGCCCTCCAGACGATGTTACAGCTATCTTCAACAGGGTTTTGTTTTTGTCCGACGCTGAGGGTAAGTGAGGACTTGAATTGCATGTAGAACTGAGTGTTTCGTTTCGCACAGGGTCCAACTCCAAACTATGCAACAGCATTGAAGATGTTGGGGGAGCAATCGTTGTAGCACAGAGAGGGGAATGCAACTTCTTCAACAAGACCATCAATGCATGGAGAGCCAACGCCTCTGCACTGATCGTAGGGAATGATGAGAGTGACCTTGAGAATGCTCTTTTTCCGATGGGCTGCCCTCAAGAATACGATTCTCTGTGCAACAACATGAGTATTCCAAGCATCATGATCAGCTCCAAAGATTATCAAGCGCTCAAGCTTATCATTGCTGCACATGATGCTCGCACTTTGCGGATGAAAGTGTATGCTCGTAAGCACCCGTCGATCGATCCAGCATCAGTGATTATATGGGCGATGGGCGTCTCAATCGTGGTGATAGCCTCGTACCTGAGTGCATACACAGAGCGAAATACTGCTGCAGGAAATGTAGTAGGCGAACGAGGGGAAGTCGAGGGTTTCGACAAGAACCTCCCATTCCAAGAACTGAACATGGGTCATGCGTTAGGGTTCATCGTTGTTTCATCAGGTGCTCTTGTCTTGTTTAGTTGAGATCTTGCTGAGATTGTTTTCCGACGAATACAGGGGTTCTTGTGTTTTTGTTTTCTTCATCCGAGACCTGATCTTGATCTTGGTGGTCTTGTACTGCTTTGCGTCGATCTCTGCTTTTGTCTCAGTGGCAACTCCACTCCTAGAGAGGGCATTTCAGTCATGTGCGAAGAAGGTATAGTCGCAAAGGAATGATATGAACTCATTCCATTGCGTTGCTATCGATCATCTCTATGAGATCTGAGGGATCAAATAGGTTCATCTCTGGCGACTTGGTAGAACAAGCGTGTCAATCCTTGTGACCCTTCCGCTTTGTATAGCAATTGCAGGTGAGATCTTTGCCATCGAACTATTCATTCAGCTCCAATTAAACGCCGCATTCCAGTTTTTTGGTTTGTCAATCGACATCAATCTTCATGGGTTTGGATCCTGCAAGATATCATGTCAGCGAGTCTCTGCTTACATATCATCAGCATCGTGCGATTCAATGATATCAAGGTTTCACAATTCGAGCATTTCTGTCTGCCACTTAGCTTGTCTTCAGGTTTGTACAGTTTTACTATCTCTTGCCGTTCTATACGACATCTTCTGGGTCTTCATCAGCCCGCTCCTTTTTTCCGAGAATGTGATGATAGGTGTGTAAACCTGCGATTGACCACGAAAGTTGAACGTCCCTTGACTAGGCGTTGCAACCGGGCAAGGGCATGACTGGACCAATGGAACAGACCATGACTCTCCTCCGGAAATGATTCCAATGTTGCTGGTGGTTCCTAAAGTTCTGGTATGCAAGATTAGCGAGAGATTATTTGAATTTCTCATGCAAGTGAGCTCAGGACTGGGCGGGTGGAGTGACCTTACTAGGACTGGGAGACGTCGTTCTTCCAGGGCTTCTTGTTTCCTTCGCCCTTCGTGTGGATAACCTGAAGCAGAAAAGGTTGTTTTGATATCTTTGTTTATTCATTCTCACCATGCATTAGTGCTCTTGGAGGATATTTCTTGTACATTAGCTTCGGCTATGCCGTCGGACTGATGTTTGCTATCCTGGCATCGTTGGTCATGCATATGGGACAGCCGGCACTGCTTTACCTCGTGCCGTGCACGCTCTGGCCCTTCTTGCTTCTGAGCTGGTGACTACGCCGTTGAACCTCATCGAAATAACGATTCCTGCAAGGTCACGAGGAGAGCTGAAGGAGATGTGGGAAGGCCCATTTCAACGCGAGGAATCTGATCACCATGATGCGAGTGCGGCTGAAGAGAACGACTGTCTCGACAAGGACGATCTAGAGCAGGTATGCACCCGAGGTTGTGAATCTTCTCTGTCATTAAGAAAACTTTTTCTCTCTACCAGAATGCGAGTGGAGCGGATTTTGATGATTCAACGAGGACAACACAAGCACAAGGACCTGAGTGCCGCCAACGTCTGCTGGACTGAACTGATCACCTTCTTCTCTTGCCCCCTTTTTGCTACTGTACGAATTATTCCACATCTCAGAGTTTTTCCCCTTGCACATGCAATGTCTTATTCAGCCATTAGATTCCATTAGGAAAAAGATACACAAAGAATGGTTTTCTCGAATCCTACACCCAAACCATCTCTGAAGTACTTTCAACAGCATGTGCTTATAGTTTTCAACAGCATGTGCTTATTGAATTCAACAGCATGTGCTTATAGTTTTCAACAGCATGTGCTTATAGTATGTAAAGGATCTTGCCCTCTCTTCTTCCGTGTCACATGCTGTTCAACATCAAACTTTCGATGCCATCGCTTTAAAAACACATGTATAAGTTTTTTTCCTTGGAGATCACTCGGCCCCCGAAAGGAGGGGAACCAAGCAAGGGAGGTGAAGGAGGAGGAGGAGGAGGAGGCTAGGTAGGATCAGAAGGCTAGAAGAGCCATGTAGGGATAGCCGAACAAGTTTTCATGCTCGTCTTTGTTCCCATGTCTGTTTGCATGAAGAGAAAAAGAACCAGCGCGAACATGTTCATCGCATGAAATCCTCTCAAAACTCAATCGCACCCAGTGTTGTGCTTCCGCTGTGTCAAGATAGTGGACAAGAGGAGATCAAAGTCATATCTTTGTATCTGACGCTCTTTCTGCAGGAAGATGAAGGCTCTAATACGCGGATTCTTGTTCTGCTTCATCCTCGGGCAAACAGGGGCTTTTCTTCAGCTACCCCTCCAGAATGGAGGCCAGTCGCACAAGGCAAGACAGCGAAACTACCTTGGGGCTACCAAGAGACGTGGATACTTTGCAATGACGTCACATCCACCTCAGAGTGACGTTGAAACCTCCAAAGAGTTCTGGCTCGAGTATGCTCGAATTAAGATGGCTGAGAAATCCGGCGATGCAGCGATGAAGCCGAAAGGAGAGAAGTTTACAGCAGCAGAGGCGAAGGAGATCGTCAAGCAGTCAAGGCTGAGGTTGGAACAAGAGTTCCGCAAGATAGACGAGAGGACGCAGCAGAATATCAAGAGGATCTTGGACGCGTACCGTGAAGCTCGCGTCGGCCCCCACTTGTTCGCAGGCACCGACGGGTATGGGCATGGCGACATCGGGCGAGACACGCTGGACGAGATCTATGCAAAGCTGTTCGGTGCTGAGAAAGCTCTCGTACGAGTCCAATGCTTCTCTGGCACCCATGCCATCTCCTGCGCTCTCTTCGCCGTTCTCCGCCCGGGCGACGTCATGCTCGCTATCAGCGGCAGGCCATACGACACTCTCGAGGAGGTGATAGGGTCTCGCAAGGAGGACCCGGAGCTTGTGCCGCATGGCATGACGGGCAGCTTGCATGACTTCGGCGTCTCGTATGCTCAAGTGGATCTGACGGAGGACGGCGACTTCGATTTGCCTGCGATCGACGAGGCTCTTCAGCTCCATCCTAACGTGCGACTCATCCACATCCAACGATCCTGCGGGTACCAATGGCGGCCCTCCATCCCTGTGGAGAAGATCGGCAAGGTGATTGCGTGGATCAAAGAGAGGAGACCTGACGTCGTCGTCTTCGTCGACAACTGCTACGGCGAGTTCGTCGAAGGCATCGAGCCCACGCACGTGGGAGCAGACCTGGTGGCTGGTTCTCTCATCAAGAACCCGGGTGGCACCTTCGCACCTTCTGGGGGCTACGTCATCGGCAAAGCCGTCTACGTCAAGGCGGCGCGACACAGGCTGAGCGCTCCTGGAGTGGACGGGGGGGCGACTTTGGGTTGGTGAAGATTGAGGGGAGGGGAGGAAGCTGACGGGCATGCAGGTCAGACACGCCTTCTCTACCAGGGGCTCTTCAACGCTCCCATGGTGGTCGGAGAGGCGATCAAAGGAGCGAACTTGCTGGCAGACGTGATGAATCAGCTGGGATATGAAACCAACCCTCGCATCGGAACCCCAAAGACTGACATCATCTGCGCCCTCAAGCTTCTCAACCGCGAGAACTTGCTCGCCTTCTGCCGTGCTGTGCAGAGAAACAGCCCCGTGGGTTCCTACATCGTGCCCGAGCCTGGAACGACGGTAGGGAGCCAAGAGGGTGCTGGGGTAGAGCTGACGAGGTGATGGCAGGTGGGCTACGGGGACGAGGTCGTGTTTGCCGACGGAACCTTCATCGACGGAAGCACGCTGGAGCTGAGCGCGGACGGACCTCTGAGGGACCCGTACGTCGCCTACTGCCAGGGGGGGACCCACTGGACCCACTGGGCGATCGTGTTGGAGGAGGCGCTGCAAGGGATTGTTCCTCGGGAAATGGAGGCGGAGGAGAAGTAATGGACTAGGGGAACATCAGAGCTGTCACGGAGTTTTGATCAAGATCGCCGGTGAGCATTTTTACATTCTTGCGTCCTGCGCAGCGAGAGGCAGACGGGGACGTCGGAGACTCGACGGACTCGCAACAGAGATAAAGGACGATGTGCGATGACGATGTGAAACATTGAGTTTCAAGTGAACCCCTCTGCCCTCCTCGTTCCTCTGCTCCTACCCGCTTCTGTTCCTGCTCCTGTTCGCTTATCGTTTCCTGCGTCTCACCTGTCCTGCCCTCCCCTTCCCCTAGTCTCTGCCATCTCCTCGTCATCTATCTCGTCAAACGTCTGAGCATCGCCACAGGGAGGTTTTCGCGGTTTACCGAGCTAAGTACATCGATCACAAGAGCACAAAATACAAGAGAGGGAGAGGGGGAAGGGAGGTAGCGTGCTTGTGCAGAGGTGCTGGTGAGCAAGGCAGCTACACGGGCAGGACGGTGTTGACCTCCTTGATGAAGACGATCCCCAGGCTCATGAGCGTGAAGGGAACCATGAGGAGCCACTTGAGAGCGCGGTAGAAGTGCATGTTGAAGCTCATGGACACGCGATCCTCGAAGTGCTGCCCGTACTCGTTGGTCATCTCCACGAACACCGAGGTGAACTGCCGGCGATCGGGGCAGGGGATCTCCTCCAGGTACCTGCCAGGATGCGTGTACGTTTTCTCGAACAGCTTCGTGCTCCCTCCCAGCGATATCCGCACGTGATACTCTCCTCCACTCGCTCCCAGCCCCTTCACCGGTCGCTTGTCCACGATCTCGAACCCAAAGGTCATGCTCGGCCCGTTGTGGTCGTGGAAGTGGCGGAATCTGTCGAGGATGAAGATCCCTTGCCGTCCGTCCCGCAGCTCCACGTTGTTGTTCCCCTGCTCCTTGGAGGTCCAGGCCTTCATCGGATGATAGTCCACGTCTGTCCCGAGGCAGATCACGTTGCCGTTCATGGTCGTGACCAGGAGGTCCATCTTCCCGTTGCCAGTGATGTCATCGGCCAGCACCATGGAGTAGGAGTTTTCACCCACGTCCACCTTAAACGAGCAGCCAGTCGCTCCATTGACGATGTACAAGAAGCCGTCATGCGAGGGCACAATGATGTGGCGGACCGGCAGCCCCGCCCGCCCCTTCCCTCCCTTCATCTGCAGCAGGAGGGGAAGCGACATGATCGGCCCTCCGGTCTTCACCGGGAAGTTCTCCAGCGTCCTACCACTGCTGCCCTGGAGGGCCCAGATGTGACCGCTTGTGGTGGCGAGGACGATATCCACCAGCCCGTCGCCGTTCACGTCCCCGACCACCGGGCCCTGCGTGGAGAAGCCGGAGATGTGAGTCTCCCAGACCTCCTTCCCCTTGGAGTTGAACACGGCTACGTTGTGTCGCGTGTCCGTTGCGATAATCTCAAGCTGACCGTCGTCGTTGACGTCCGCCACCGCCACTTGCCCTTGAATCTCCGCCATGGTCACCGGGAAGTTGTCCTTCACCCTTCCGTCATGCTCGATCACGTACACGAAGCCCAGGCTCGTTCCCAGAATGATCTCCAGCTTGCCGTCCGCGTCGAGGTCAGCGACAGTGGGGGAGGAGTAGATGTAGGCGCGGTAGGCAGTCTCGTCGGTGGTCAGGTCAAGGTGAATGTTCCATTTCAACTTCCTGGTCAAAGCATCGTAGACCACCACCCCGCCAGCCACGTACTTCTTGGTGTTGACGTCCACGTCCAGGTCCTCGTAGGCCGAGGGATCACTGTACTGCTCCTTGTCAAAGTAGTAGGAGACGGCGAAGATGATCTCGTCGTGCCCGTCCCTGTCAAGGTCGGCGATGATGGGCGTGCACAGCACGTGCGCGTCAACAAAGACGTAGCCTTCCTCCTTGGGACGGTCGCCGGGGATGGCTGCAGACCTGTTGGATCGCAGAGCGCCATTGAAGATGTGCCGATCGACTGCCAAGGTCCTTGTGAAGATTTCATCGTGGCCCAAGATCATCTGCTTCATGTCCCTTCCTCCCCAAGTTGAAACAGCCTGCCCCAACACATGTCAAAATGCAGGCGCACACGACAGCATAAAAATAATCAAATATAGCAGACAGAAGCAGCAGGAGGAAAGGATGAGTATGGGCATGAAGCAGGAGCAGGAGCAGGAGCAGGAGCAGGGGGCAGGAGCAGGAGCAGGAGAAGGAGGCCCTACAGACAGGCACCTGGTTGTTCTCCTGCTCATCGGGAGAGAAGAAGCCCTTGATGTAGTTCCACTGCGAGTCCTTTGGGGCGCTGAGGGGTTCATCTCGCCATGCCTGCACTCGCTTGTCGCGCTTCTCCCGTGCGATGCGGCTGGTCATCTCCTCTTCGGTCTCCTTGGAGTGGTCATTGCCCATGTTCCGGTAGTTGTAGTAGTTCTCATAATAGTCGTAGTCCTCCCCCATGTGCTCGCGCCCATAGCCGTGGTCGTGGTAGTCGGGATAATCCGGGTAGTGCTCTCCGTCCACCAGCTCCTCCCCATCCTTGGGCATGACCTCAGCCGGCTCGCTCTCAATCTCCCCGGGTATCTCCTCCTGAGGAGGCAGCTCTGTGCCGTCGATCATGTCCTCCGCGTGCTCGGGGACCTCGATGTCGTCCATGGACAGCATGGTGTCGTCCGACGGATCCTCGTCGCTGTGCGCCTCCTCCTCTTGCAGGAGACGTCGGGAGGTGCTCAGCAACTTTATCTTCCTCTTGCTCATGAAGTCTCGGAGCTCAGTCTTCTCTGCTGCGGTCAGCGGAAGCTCATTGAAACGATGCTCGTCCAGTCGCTTCAGGTCTCCCAACGTCCGCACTCCTGACTTCTTGATCTTTCCCAGGATTTCACTCAGCTTGCCGTTGTCAAGCAACTGGAGAATTGTATCAGAAGACGAGATTGAAGGGGACAGATGGTGTTGTGAATCAAGAGGACAGGAAGCAAGAAATGTTGAGATGGAGCAACAGCAGGGGTACAAGTGTCCGCATCGCACTTACAGAAGTAGAGTTGTCAAGCCCCTTGGCCTTCATCAACGCGCCTTTGGCCTTGTCAAGAATGCTCGCTCTGTTCATCTCCTTGGTCTTCTTGCTCTTGAGCTTCTTGACATGCGCGAGCTCCTTGTCGAAATGACTCCATTGGCTCTTGATCTCCGTCATGTCAAGGTTCCCGTCCTTGTTCTCATCGATGGCCTCGTACCTCTCGTTCAGCTCTGCCTCTTCAACATCAGGCTTGTTCTTCTTCACGTGCTCAGAGAACTCCTCGCGCGTAACAGTGCCGTTAAAATCCTTGTCGGTCTGATAGAAGATGTCTTCAGCCTCGTTGCGGTCAAACTCGTCCATGTACATGGTCAATTCTTTCACTGCTAGTTGGTCATCCTGGTCCTTGTCTGCAATGTCGTACAAGGTTTCTGCGTCCGATCGCTGGAAGTTGGGGTGCTCAGACATCGCGTGCTTCACGAACTCAGCCTTGCTCAGCACTCCATCTCCGTTCTTGTCCGCCTTCTTCACAAACTCATTCGCGAGGAAGTGTGGGCCATAGTCACCCCATCCCGCGTCCCGGGTGTCGAACATGTCCTGATAGTGTCGAGGGAGCTTGCCGGGGGCGAAGGGGTCCCCTACGTGCTGGTTCATAGCTTCCCTCTCGAACTGCGTTAAGCCGTTGTGCTCCATGTCCTGCGGGTCAGGTTTGAGCCCCTCATACCACTTCTTCTTGATCCTGAGGTGAGGTATCTTGATGCTCCAGCCGAAGATGGGGATGCCGTTCTCAGTCAGCCAGATGAGCTCGCCGTTGAAGGTCGTTACCCCAATGTCCGGCTCCCCGTCCTTGTTGATGTCGTAGATCAGCGCAGAGGCGTAGAAGGCGCTGTTGGGGAAGGTGAAGGGGAAGCCTGGGGACCGATGGCCGTGCGGGCCGTTGATGACTTCAATGTGACGGACGAAGGTGGGAATGACAATGTCCTTCACTCCGTCACTGGCAACGTCGAAGATGGTGGGAGTGACGTAGGAGCTAGACTCGATCTCCATCGCCCACTGCTGGATGATCGTCTGCGGGCACGACGAGTTCGGGGCGAAGTTGGACGCGTCCATTCCGAAGATGAAGTTCTCGATGCCTGAAGTGAGGTCAGAAGGGGTTCATTCCCCAGTAGAGCAGAGCAGAGCAGAGCAGAGCAGAGCAGAGCAGAGCAGAGCAGAGGATGTGAAATGGGGGAGGGTGAAAGAAACTGAGACAGGACCTTGAATGTCTCGCTGCTTGAACTTGTTAGGTGTGAGATGAGAGTTGTCGGGAATCGGCTTGGAGTGCTGTGCGACAACCGTAGCAGATGTAAAGAACATGGCAAGCAACCTGGAGTTTCATGTCAGGAAGCCATCGATAGGAACTATCATCGGGTCGTACAGTCGTTGCATGCTGACTTGACTCATTACGACAGCTGTGTCGCTCGGCTCCAGCTGAGATTCTGATTTCATGAGGTCAGACGGTTTCACTTTACAAGTGCAGATGAAAGCAATGAAGCTAATCAAAGTCACAGTCTTCCGCATTCCAAGCTCCTCCATTCCTTGCTCACATGTATGACTTCATGGACAGTTCTGTCAAACCCCGACATTCGAACAGCTTTTGACATCTCTGGTCCAATCTGAATCAAGCTTTGGCATATATTGAGATGTTCTCTCACTGATCAAGCAAGCTTCCAAATGTTTCACTCTCTTGGAACAATCACTCAACATTCACGACTTCTCCGTCTCGAACATCCCCTCGCCTTGCCCCTCAACCCCTATCATCTCGATTTCTTCTTCTCTCGATTTCTTCTTCCTTGTCTCTTCCTACCCCCCATCAACTCGATTTTTCTCCATTTCCTCTGTCCGTCTCTCGTTCGCTCCCTCCCCTTCGCTCGCTCCCTCCCCTTCGCTCGCTCCCTCTCCCCAGCTCTCCCCAGCTCCTCTCCCTCCTCTTCCTCGCATCCCGTGCCACATCGACGGATACTCACGGATACTCACGGATACCCACGGATACTCACGGATACTCACGGCCTCATACATTTTTAGTTAACTTCCTTGTCGTGATGCGTCCCAAGGCAAGACAAAAGCAGGGGCGCTAGAAGTCATGGCATGAAGCTGAAAGAGATCCGAGGCCATGCTTGTTCCTTCCTCCTCCTCCCCGTGCCCTCCAGCTTTCTTTCACGTCCACTGCCCCTCTTACCCCTCATCAAGACCGTCGCTGCCATTGAACCGTTGTATGCACGGAAAGCTAGTTGACGTGGAAAGGAACAGCATTACGGTAGGCTGGAAAGTGATGATGGTTTCTCTTCTCCTCCTCCTTCAAACTCCGATAGTCTCCTTCGCTCATCCTGTAGGAGGCTGGCCAGGGCATGCCAGAGGCATCGTCGATCAAGATGGACGCCATCCGCAGTGGGAAGAATTGACAACAACAGAACAGGAGGCTGCCAAGAAGTTGGGGTATGATCTAAATAGCTGGAACTCTGATGGAATTGTTAAAGTCGATCGATTGACATGGAGGGAGTTGTCCGAGGTTTCTTGATTTGTTTATTTTCTATTCAAGCTGAGTAATCTCCAGACACAAAGGCAAGCAGCGAAAACCTTGAAATTTAACAAGGAGGTGTGGGATGAAGACATTTTCGTTGACATCTATGAACGGGGATGGAATGAATTGACTGAAGAGCAGAAAGCTGCAGCAAAAGTTTTAGGGTATGGACGTGGTGAGCTTCAAACTCAATTCTCACTCTTCATGCAGGTACAAGAAGGATATGTGGAACAATGATGATCACGTTTGGAGCGATGACAAGGACTGGAAACATCTGAGTAGCAAACAGAAGACTGCTGCAGGTTTTCAGATGATAAACATACTTTGACCATCTGACCATTTTCCAAGAAACTCTGGGGTACACAGGAAAAGAATGGGATGAGAGCCGTCACATCTTCGATAAGCGATGGGTGACACTTGCTTTGTGCACCTTTCCATGGTTGAATTTTCAACCAGAAAGATTTGAGCGACGGGCAGAAAGACGCTGCAAAAACACTTGGATACAATCAGAAGTAGGACGTCCTTTCCTTGTGCCCTTCCTCGTTCATCACTTTGCGATTGACGCAGATTATGGAATGATGAGAGTCATGTCAAACTGGATGATGCTACCTGGAAGCATCTCAACGACAAGCAGAAGCGAGCAGCAAAGACCCTCGGTGTGCCTGCTGGCATGCTGCTGCTTGTGATCAACGCACAGGTTACAACGAGATGTCGTGGAATCGAGCAACCAAAGAGGGGTGAGAGGATATTGTGATCAAAGCCTCTGCTCAAGGTTTGGACATTTGACAGATTGCATTCTGTCGATCTCGAAGAGAGACGGAAAAGGAAACAGAGGATAATGAACGCTGAGGTTTGGTGATTGCTGCGACGTGCTAGGATAGCTGAACTTTCCGCCGCCAACCAGTTGGGCAAGTGCACACCTCTGGTCGGTCCTTTCAGTTTCTCTCGCAACAGTTGTGATCGCGTGGGCAAGCCTTACTATGTTCCTCGCTTCATGGGCAGGTGGAATTGATCATCTTGCTTTTTTCTTTTGCTTACGGCCCCACCCTCAGCGAAAACTACAACTTTCTTCTAGGGAAATAGAAGCGCGGCTTGGCAAAGACGCGCACCGTAAACAAGTTGAAATGAATAAACTGAAATGTAAAGCTGAACTCTCACTCACGCCGCCGACAATGATTCCATGGAAAGTTTGCTTGAGAGTCGCATCGACCAACCTCATGGCCCAGTACGGTCACTGCCACCCCGGTCACCGAACTACTCAGTGACTTAACTTTGAGTAAAGACTCTCAGTGACGGGACCGTGCAGGCTCCGGGAGGGGGAGGGGCGGGCCCCGGCCGCCCTCAGGTTACAAGAAAATGGAGGCGAGGAAGGGAGGGACCTGCGCGCTGTGCGGGGGAGCGATCCATGCTGGAGAGATTATCATCCCCCTCGAACAGACTGCAGATCAGAGAATGCCGCTTGATGCCCTCGGGCATGGTCCTCTGAAGGAAAGACAAGAGCAGGAAAAGATTCCCGCGCGGCGGAAAAGCATGTTCTGGATTCATAGGGCATGCGGCTCAGACGCCTCAAGCTTGCAAGGCGTCCGGATTCCTGTCTGCAAACATTGGCTTCAACGTGGAGTCTGTATCTTCGGCAGGTGAAGTCACTTGCACCATCCCCTGATATTGATCACTGGATTTCAGTGAATGCTTGTTTTCCCACCCTCCCTCGACTGAAAAGAACCAGGGAGCACATTCTTTTGAGGAGCGCAGGTCTTGGCAGACAATATCGGAACAGGGGAAACCAGTTGTTCTGCATGCACGGAATATACCATCAAACGCGGACAAAGATGAACTGGTGAATGCTCTAGGAAAGTACGGAGAAATCGCTCAAGACGTCGAGGTCAAACTCATCTGCATGTTATGAAGCAACATGACACTTATCAGTTCAAAGAGATGAAGAATTCTGAGAAGAAATGGTGTGTGGTGAAGTTTTTCAACTATGCCGATGCACAAGATGCAATGGAGGCTTTCAGTCAAGGCCGAGTTGAAGGTGGCCTCTCCGATGTGAATGTGCTCCGGTGTGAAAGTCACCACACTGAGAGCAGGGTTTGAATCCGTAAAACTTTCTTTCGCTCACTTGAGCAGAAAGAAGGTGAGATGCAATGTTTTTGATGTTGGAGGGCTTGACTATGTTGTCTGGCGTTGTGATCACTGTGAAGGTCAAGAACGAATTTCGAGTTGGAGTGTTCAGGAGATGGCTAGAAGACAAGTTCGGACTGGACACGTTGACATCAGGGTCTGGAGTCCTGGACGTGGCAGGTAAGTGGAAGAGAGTCTTGAAACCGCTCAAGTTTCGCAGGAGGAAAGGGAGAGCTGTCGTTTGAGCTGCTGAACCTGTCAAGCATCCCTTCGACTGTGGTCGATCCTCGACCTCTCCAACTGCATCTCTTCGTCAAGCGTCTCCGCATGGGCTTGTATCATCGCAACAGGCAAACTTCAGGTCTCGTCGTGCAGTCGCTGATCAACGTGTCTCAGTGTGCACAATCGATACAACAGGGGCGTCGGGCAACTCGATCCCTTCCGCGTCCCTGCGCACCTCCGGATCCACTTCGAGACCTGGGGGGATAACCGAGGGGAACGGGACACGCTTGGAGCCGGGGAGGGGGGCAAAGTACGGGAGGTGGCCGCGTGCCCTTGCGCCCTCCGGAGCGAAGACGCGTTCCGAGCAGCTCGAGACCGATCTTTGTCCTTGAAGTGGACACGAAAGGGCCTTCACGAAGACGAACAGGAGGAGGAAGAGGAGGAGCTCGATGCTTCAGAGATGGAAGCGAGCATGGAGAACGAGTACAGTGAAAGCGAAATCACAGAGTTGGCGACAGCTCGAGAGATTGTATGGCATGTCGTGGAGTGAAACGCTATCTGACATGTTGAAGGTGTTGAACTCCTCTGTTGTCGTCGGCATGCATCCCGATCAGGCTGCACAGGTGCGATCAGATATTTTCTGTTACCACGTGAGACAGACATGTCAGGCCATCATTGAGTTTGCACTAGCAAACAACAAACCCTTTGCTTGCATCCCGTGCTGTTTGTATTCCAACCAACCGCAGGTCTGCGTCTAACTGCTTCTCACCCGTGCACTGAACCTCAAGCTCTCAGTTTCGGTCGCGCAGGCTCGGCGATGGCCGTCAGGTCCGCGACTACGAAAGCCTCGTGGAGTTTCTCTCGAGCATGGCGGAGGACATTCGAGTGGAAACGCTGCCATTCGAGGGTAAGAACAAAGTAATATACCGCATGAGGACGTGAACTATCAGATATACTCCATGAGCACGACTTGAGGGAGGAGGAGGGCAATATGCAGGCTTGTCAGAGGATGAGGAAGGAGGGAGGAGAAGGAGGAGGAGGAGGCAAGGAGAAGGGGGAGGCAGGGAGGCAAGGAGGAGGAGGGAGGCAGGGAGGCAGGGAGGCAGGGAGGCAGGGAGGCAGGGAGGCGGGAAGGAGGCGGGAAGGAGGGAGGGAGGCGGAGGGGAGGGC